CTGTGGGGAGGCGGGCAGGCGTGTTGGGTCGCTCTGCGCCGTCGAGGTCGAGGGGCTTAAGCCTTGAGTTTAGGTTGGGTTCTCTGGCCACGGCGGCGGCTTAGGGTTTAGGGGCTTTACAGGTTTATGGGTTTTGGGGTTTAGGGGTTTAAGGGTTTAGGGTTTGGGGGATTGGGGGTTTGGTGTTCCTTCCGTAGCTGATTGCTTTAAGAAGTCGCAGCTGATTGCCTTAAGAAGGACCCAAAAAGCGAGCATACGGTAAAGCATCTCCGCGTTCCCCTGCGCTGCAAATGCAGGAGCATACTTTGCAAAATAATGACCCGGTCTTGCTAAGATGCCTCGGGCATGGGCCCCAACTTCCGAGAACCGGATTGAGAGGGGAATTGTTCATACGTTTCCGCCCACATTTTTCAATCGTCGAATCATGGTCCATGTTCATGCCGAGCAGCCATGCCAAACTCCGGACGGAGGACAGGCTTGAGGAAATAGCCGCTGCCAGCACTTCTGCTGTCAGACCTGGAGCGTTGCTATCCCCACATACTCCGATTGCACTCTCGCGCCCCCCTCCCCCCACAGCACGAATGCAGGCCGCGCCTGTGCGAATCTGCAGACACTTCAAAATAGTTGCAATTCCTGCCGCCGCAGGGGTTGTACGGCGGTGTCAGGATGTCGAAGAACCTGAGCGGAACATGCCATGAAATGACCCGAGACCTAGCGTCGGATCCTTCACCCGGCGAAACAAGGCCGTGATCCAACTAAGCCAGGCCTGCCAACAACATTAAGCGCAAACGCGCTCGAACGAGCTTCCATTGAAGCTGAAGAGAAGGCAGTCCGGACAGTCAGAATGGCAGAACAACCGTCAGCATCTTTTACTCCCTCCTAGTTTTCACTGTAGTATGATGAAGAGCCATAGTATTGCTGTGCTTTGCTGTGCTGTTCCTGCTGCTAGTGCTGGCCAGACCATAGTCGGGGTCCCGGGGAACCGGGCGCGCAGTCATCCACCGCCTCGATCTGGTGGATGTTTCCCTCCTCGCGGTGGCTGCACTTGTTCGCATTTATCCTTGAATATTCCGATAAACCTTTAGAATCCCATAAGTGTTCGGAATCTCGAAGTCCTGCCCGTTGAAAACCCAGATAACCGGTTAGCCTCAAGCCTCAACACTGCATCGCGTTCAAAGAAGCTGCCAATCTCCGACGCAAAGTTTCAGGCTTCAAATCCTACATCCGCCGGCACTCTCAGGCCGACAGAGAAGCCCGAAATCTCGTCTCAACTCCACCGGGCTCTCCCCAACCTTCCGAGGCTTATCTCCACCCTCGCTGAAGATTGAGATGGACGGAGAGCTTGAGTCTGCCAGTCGATCTTGTGGGCGCCAGGACCCCAGGCTTCGTCGCAATAGCCGCCACCACACTTACGATCATCATCGCCATCATCACCATCATCATCGTCGTTGAACCCAGGCCTAGAGGCAGAGAGGTGATTCTGAAACCCACCCGGTCGATCTCACCCGGTTAACCTGATAATCTTTCTTACTGACAAAGCTTCCATCCCTCGACATGGTCGCCGACCACGACGGGCGCCAAAATCTGCGCTTCACTCAACGAAGTTCCTCCACTGGCCGCTTTGCCCCAGGCGAGTAAGCCGGCTCCAACATACTTGACACTCCTAATATACGGGCCTTCATAATTACCTATACCATGTTGGGGGGGGGGGGGTCCTTATAAAAGTTATAGTATAGTATACACCCAAATCCTATTCAAATTTATGAAGGCCCCTACAGTATGGGTGTGAAAGTTGGGGCCCGTCCTCCAGATTCGACCCCCACCCGTGCTTGGGCTACTAGGAGACAGCCCGCTGTACTGCAAGCTTTGTAGAGCCAAGCCCTGTGTACCCACTATAACCTTTGTCTCGGCACTGCAGCAGGAAAGCCTCAACTCACCTGGCTTGTTCCAAGCATCCAGCTCTGTCCTTTTATGTAGTTACCACCACCATCATCAGAGAGTAGTGAGCTCGTCGTGCAGCATTCAGACTTTGCCAGGGCTGTCGCTAAATTCGAGCCATTCTGCCACAAGAGCCCTTGGAAAAAAGAGTGATTCCAATGGCAGCAAGGTGCTAATCTTCCAGATTTACAGGAGCGATGCTCGTAGGCTCCGCGAATGGCCCATGACTCCATGCCCTAAACCCTAAACCCTGACCCTAAACCCTGACTCGCCCCAAGTCGCAGGTCCTCTGGCCCCAGGCCGTAGGTGACAGGTGCTGGTCCAAGGACCTGCAGAAAGGTTCGTCAAGGTTTGAGGCTCGGGGCTCGAAAGCTTTGGGAGGGTTTACCGTTTAGGGTTTGGAGTTTTTGTGTTTAAGGTTTAGGGTTTAGGGTTTGGAGTTTTTGTGTTTAAGGTTTAGGGTTTAGGGTTTGGGGTTTAGGGTTTAGGGTTTAGGGTTTAAGGTTTAGGGTTTGGGGGGACTCCAGCTTGGACGTTGGTTGGCGGTCCCGGACTGTTACAATTTAGGGGCCTAGATAATTACTAACACTATTT